TTTATTGTGAAATGCATGCTTTATTTAAATGATTTATTACCATAGATACTAACGATTTATTTTACAGGAAGATATAAGAATTAAATTATATTTACACAAGGCACATCTTGTGCAATAACTACGATAAGAATTTAGCATACATAGATTGATTTCACTTTCGTTTTTCGACAGAGAAAAGTTCTTGTCTCAGACAAAGGCGTGCAAGCAGCTTTGGTTGAATGCATTGAGTAATAAAGAGAAAGAGACGGCATTGGGATCAAAAGCTCTTTTTAGAAATACTTCCTGAGCGAAAACGAGGTTGCAAACAAAAATTGCAAAGACAACACCCAGCTGTCTGCAGCTTCTTCTGCCGATGCCCACAATTCAATGGCAACTTCAAAACATTTTCCATTAGAACCAACAACAACCATAATCAAAGCAAATGACTCGACAGTGAAAAAAGCATACCACAAATTCTGTCCTTGCTATCCTTTTTTGTTTGAGGCTACAGTCTATGATCTTAGCCTCTGCACCCATCCAACTCATTGTTGTGGTTTCTATGCACTGCTATGCCTATAATTCGCAAAGTCATGTTTTCTTCTTCTTCACTCGCTTTCAACTTGCAAGCAGATCGGCAGATTTTTATAATTTTTCATTTTTCGACCAGCAAGGCACCTTTTCTCAAAATAGGGTATTTTAACTATTCATAAGCAATGTAACCAAATAGCACAAACCATCTTATATATACATTTTTATTGAATGTCTAAAAAAATATAATTTTGTATTAAGTGTGCAGCTATTAGTACAGTCAATAAAAATTGTTTTCTTTATAAATTATATACCATTCTTATTAAAATGAGTATCAATGCCGCATCCTGCCAAATAGTTGCTTATGTGTGTCTCATCTCACACATATTGGTTCAAATCTGCATATTTGTATGTGTCTGCCAAGCCAAGGGAACTCTATGAATTTAAGAAGATTGCAACGTTCTGTTGCGCATGTGACGTCACAGTCCAAGGCTTTTTATGTGCGATCATTTCGTACATAAAATTATTACATAAGTCAACAAATTATTATTTATAAAATACCCCATTAATAAGGTATTTAAATGTACCTATTAAAGGTAGAAATATATGCTAAACATCACAAGAAATAAAATTCTATTAACTGTGACGTCATAATATATGATGTTGGGCGCCGTGCGCGTAACCCTTTTATCTGAGTGCCGTGGCTTGCTGATATTCAAATTTTCTACCTACTTGCGCCGAGACTCGGCTCTACAACAACAACATTAGTACCCGAATTGTGCTGTTGTTGTTTCTACGCGCTTCCTTGTAGGAACGACAGAGAAACCCGCAAAGAACACTGTGGGATGAAGAACAAATTGGGTTTCGTGAGCACTGTTGTTGTTTTGCAAGTGATTTGTTGTTGCTTCCTATGGTAAATGAGCTTTTTTATTGGGTGTGATTTTGCGTTTGCGGACCAACTCGATCTACGACTCGTGGTTTTTGAAACGGTAAAAAAAGCTCAGAGCGTCAGTTCAGATCTTTCTCTTTATTACTCAATGACTAAAACTATATACATAAGATAAGCAACATATATACATACATATACAGCATATAGTTACATATCTACAACATAATACCGTTTATGTCTAACTTAGGAAGGGTTAGGAGAATAATTCCTACAAGAGGTGCCAAACACACTAGTAGCATCCCAGATATTAGAGAAGAAGAAGCATCCGAAACCATGTACATGGCTCAGGTAATACCCCCGGCACAACCTGCCAACTTGCACATGTAAAAAATAATAGGTAGCTTTAAAATTGTCGATTTATTTAAAAACCTTCCCAACACACGACGGGAACATGGAAGGACTAAGGGAATATATTACAAAAGTTGAGTAGATATTAATGCTAATAAAAGGGGCAGCCCAAACTCCAACCGGACTAATGATACTAAGGGCAATCAGAAACAAGATTCAGGGAAAAGCGCATGAAGTACTATACCAATCGGGAACTGAGTTGAACTGGGACGAAATAAAGAATAAACTTATTACCCACTTCGCGGACAAGAGAACCGAGCATAGCCTTATGCCAGACCTAGGCATCCTTTCACTTCAATGTTACCCAGTAGGAATTCTGTACGAAAAGATAGCAGATTCAAAGAGCTCTACTCAATATCGTAAAAGAAAAATAAGTGAATCAAACGGCCATTGAAACCAAAAGAGAACTTTTCAACAAACAATGTTTTACAACATTTCTAAATGGACAAATCTGACTTTCTACAAAAAGAAATTGAATACCTCGGACACATTGTAACACTAGATGGCGTTAAACCAAACCCGTCAAAGATGGAAGCTATAAAAAAATGTCCTTTACCGAAATCTTAAAAAGAAATTAAATCCTTCTTGGGTTTAATGGGTTATTACAGGAAGTTTATGAAAGACTTCCCAAATATAACCCCTGACTAAACAATTAAAAGGGAAAACGATTGTTGTTTTAAACGATGAATTTATAGAAACATCTAACTACTGTAAGACCTTGCTTTGTAACGACCAATTACTAATTTACCCCGACTTTACGAAACCATTCATACTAACAACAGATGCTAGCAACGTAGCGTTATGAGCTGTGTTATCACAAGGACCTTTAGGGTCTGATAAGCCAATTTTGTTCGCACGCCGAACACTAACCGATACAGAAGAAAATTATTCCTATTCGGTCAAAAGTTTAAGATATTTACAGACCACAAGCCATTCACCTTGTTAATGAGTTTAAAGGAACCCAACTCCAAATTAGTCAGATGGAAGCTTAGACTTGTGGCTATCTGGCAGCACAGAAATTGATACATTTTAAGTTTTTTGTCTTTGATAAGTTTGGTTACACTATTTTGTTATTTCACCATATTACGAAAAGTATGTACCCTTTCTTTTAGTTCGATCTCTCTAACCAACAACATCTACGCATCTTAATATTCACTTTTTTGGTGTCTAATAAATAAAGCTGCTATTTCTAAAATTGAAATATTATTATTATTTGTGTTAATGGATGTAAAATTTGACTTTTAAGTTCCAATCATATAAACAAAGACTGTTGGAATACGACTATGAAGTAATATACAAAAAGGGTTCGCAAAACGTTATAGCAAACGCACTTAGTAGAACAACACTAGACGTAAACATGAATGACCCCGAATCAAACAAAGGAACTTGTGGAGAGACAGTACACTCAGCAGTTTATACCAATAGCAGAGAAAGCGCTTAATGACTTCAATATACAGGTTATATTAAAGCAAGATGTAAATCCATATACAAAAATCGAGATTCCTTTCAAAAATAAAACTAGGCGCATCATAGCAGAACTTATTTTGGACGAAAAAACGATAACAAAAATTCTAAAAACCATTTTAAAATCAAACAGGACCTGTGCAATATTCGCAACAAATGAAATAATCAGAACAGTCCAGAACGGTTATCCTAAATTCTTCTCACATAGCCAACTCTACAAGCTAGTCAAATGCACAGAACGGACGAGACGCTAGCTCATTTGAAGCAAAAAATCGCCCAAACTATTAAAAACTGTGACATATGTCAGACTATGAAATACGTTAGGCAACCACAGGAAGTCCCATTTCAGGAAACTGAAACGCCCCAAACAATTATTAGACATAATACACATGGACATATACACAATCATCAACAATAATAGATAAGTTATCAAGATTCGAAACAGGGAACACAATACCGTCTAGAAGCAGTATAAATGTTGTTAAATCAATCAGGCACTTTATCAGCACCTTTGGGATCAGGGCGCAAAATTCACAGGAAATCTGTTTGTTCCCAGCGGACCAAACTGTCTCAAATGATATCGCAAACTGGTAAATGCGAGACTTTACCCGACAAAATTCTCGCAAACACATCGGGAAACGATAGCAATATAAATCATATGTCGTTCAGTTTGTGGCTGTCAAAGTTCATTTACGACTGTCGCAAGAAATATGACTTTCGAGCGTTTTGTGATATTTTAAAAAACTCTGTTAAAAGACATCACAAAAGGCTGTCATGAAATATGATTTGCGAAACTTTTTTTGTTCCATGCCCATTTTGTTCCCATAAAAATGTTTGTTGCTGGTTTTTTAAATATTCATTTTAATTCAAATTGTATTTTAAAAATAAATAACATTTAATTTAATTTAAAATTAAAAGGCATTTTTAAAGCAATCTTATATTTATAAAAAAGCGAATATATAATATAAAATAATATTATTTATTATTATATATTTAAAACAAAACTTAATGTGTTTTAATTTTAGTATATTAATTTAAATATATTCTGAAAGGTTATTACACTTGTTAATAACTTACCTTTCCATAGAAATCATTATTTTAACAAATCACTTATCACTTTGACCACGTGTCTGCTCGCTTCGGCGGACAATAGAAAAGTGAACAAAGGCATTTTTCAGCCCCCAGAAAACGGTCTGAGTAGGAAAAAACAACACAGAATCTGAATGCCACCTCGTTTTTAATCTCTCGCTCTCATAACAATGTTGCACTCTCTGAGCACGATTAACATTTATAACAAAAACAATACACCATTCTCTCTACTGTGCATGCATTTTTATCGCAAGGATCTCACTCGTTTTCTGCTCACATGCGAGCTCATTTGTGAGCATATTGCGAGACTCTCTCTAAAGGCTCGTGTGTTGGTCCGCTGGGTTCTAACAGCATCGTAATGCTATTTAAGTTCCTTTTTTATCATAAGTACTTCATTATTGGTGTGGTTGCTGAGTAGAGGCATAGCAAGTGGTGCGGTCTGTCGCGAGCTCGAGCACTACCGAGGAAAGTATGTTTTTTTTTTGATGGTGTAGCTGTTGAGTAGAGTCCACAGCAAGTAATGCGGTCAGTTGGTATTGGTGGTGTTGGTGTTGGAATAAGAGGGTTTAGGGTATTCCCTAGTCGGGAGCTCCCGACTACCATTTACATGTTTTAACATGGTTCACCAAAAAAGAATATAAGATTTTAAGCATTTAAGGCATTTGTAGCCCACTTTTATTTATTTAGTACGGTTAATTATTATTCGTTTCTGGGTCATTAGACCATTTTCGGTGGCAAGCGTGGGTTTGTTAGGTGGACAATTGAATTCGTGGGTTCTTATTATGTAGTTGACTTGCTGGACCCGTATACTTAGTGGTCCATGGTAATTTTAGTTGCCACTCAGTTGTTGCTGGACCTCACTCCTGCAGATACTCCGCTAGGCACTCAAATGAACAATGTGGTTAGTGCCAGGTCTACATGTTAGCAATGAGGAGACAAGCAATAATTATTTGGCTCCACCATGCAGATCTTTATATACAATATTTACCTGTGGAAGGACTGGCACTGTATATTAATGTTTTTCCATGGTCTTATTGTGACTCGTGAATTTTCCGGACACGGATTAAAATCATTTCTAGACACCAATTATCTTTTATTCTGCTTAGCTGGTACGTCTGTTCGTCTTGAAAGTTACTTTAGAAAAGCTTTTGAAGCTATATATCGGACGAATATTAAGTTGTATGGACAACTTGTTTGTCATTCAAGATATTTTGATTACGCACCGTATTTAGTGATCTTACTTTGCTCTCTTCATTTTTGCATGGCAAGCTGTCTCGTTGAAGCAACAGTTTTTACGGCGATGGTCAAATAGTATGTGCTCAGTCTCCAAGTACAGAGCAAGAGGCACCATCGCCTGCCAAACGTCATCGTTGGAGAGCTGAAGGTCGTCGCCGAGGACAATCTGCATCCCCATAAGTGGCTCATCGGCAGATTATCGGCAGTGCACGCAGGAGAGGACAGCGTCGTTAAAGTGGCAGATATCAGGAAGACTAATGGCGGACAATTTAAAAGAGCATCCACAAGTTGGCTCGGCTGCCTGTGGAGTGAAGCTCCCAATCGCTTCATGGTGGCCGGTGCTGGTGCAGATTCGCGCATTGCTTTATAAAATGAATTTAAAACATGAAGTCTAGTGTAAGTTAGGTTTAGGGCGGAGCGAGAGCGCAATAAGCTTCATCACTCGCTCTGGGAGAGAATTCTCCTCGCTTCGCAGTGTTAGCGTAATGTAGGGTTAAGAGTTAGTTGCCAAATTATATCAAAGCGATACGCACTTAACCACATAAGCCGCCTTTTAATAACACCACAATTTTTGTTTGTTTAATTATATAAAATAATATAATTTGTCAAACAATATGCGAAGTTTCCATGCGAACTTATATCTCAGTTTTAAAGCTATCTTCATAAAACTCTGCATTAGTGGCTCTTTTTGTTGCATACAGTACATATGTCAGAACTGGCTGGATCGGGCCCCTGTATCATTAGCTGTCATGGGAATGCACGGTCAAACATTAAGAGGTGTCAGAGTGCATTTATCGGAGGTGCTCGACTAGATATTTTCTGAACTTTAGTAAAAGACCCCCTAAAACCCTTTTTATAAATTGGCAATGGTTTCAGAGGATCAAAATAGAGAAAATAGTTACTTATTACCATTACTTATTAATATCAAAAAATATCTTAAGTTTAAATAAATTGAAAAAAATCTTATTTACATCAAACTACTTTTGATATTATCACTAATAAATGCCGAGCTTGGTCAAGATAGATTGACAAACAAAAACGTTTTTCATACAACTTAATTTTTGACCGATCTTTCCTATGGCAGCTATATGATATAGTGGTCCGATATGATATAGTGGTCCACCTGTGTTTCGACATATGTACTGCGTGCAACATAAAGAAGGAGGGAAAGGGATAGCTGCAGCAAAAGATCTTCGCTGGTCATGGATGCGGTACAGTGGACATGTGCCAGGGAATGGAGGACTTAGGAGCAATGACTTGGATCCACACGGACGCAGGAGATAAAGAGCAGCTGCCACAGTGGAGCATATATGGACTTCGCGCTGGAGTCGGAGTGGTGCACAGAAAAGGCGAGACACAGGGTCAACCCAAGCCAGAGGGGCCAAAGTGACCGGCGTGTCTGGATCCAGAACTAAAGGAGTTCCTGGAGCTGGAAGTGGAACTCTTCGAGGGTATCTAGGAGGTCCCGCTTATTGCGGAGCACAACATCAGGCTGAGGTGATGACATGCCATTGAAGCAAGGGAATATGGCCATGCAGAGAGTGACTTGGATCCACACGGACGCAGGAGATAAAGAGCAGCTGCCACAGTGGAGCATATATGGACTTCGCGCTGGAGTCGGAGTGGTGCACAGAAAAGGCGAGACACAGGGTCAACCCAAGCCAGAGGGGCCAAAGTGACCGGCGTGTCTGGATCCAGAACTAAAGGAGTTCCTGGAGCTGGAAGTGGAACTCTTCGAGGGTATCTAGGAGGTCCCGCTTATTGCGGAGCACAACATCAGGCTGAGGTGATGACATGCCATTGAAGCAAGGGAATATGGCCATGCAGAGAGTGATCGACGAACAGGTAGATAAGTTGATCCAGACACACCGAATCGTCTGATTCTAACACAAGACTGGCGAGTGGTATGTACATTGGCTGCCTCAATCCACACTCCATTCGGGATGCTTATCGTGTCCCTTGGACTAATCACATCCTTCCCTCAGGCTAAATTGGCGAAAGTGCACTTTCTGCAGGGAGAGGCTGGTGTATCTGGGACATGTAATTTGGGAAGGCCATACGTAACCTTAGAGCCCCGACTAATTGTAAGGAATTGCGGCAGTGTCTTGGGATGGATTCATAGAATAGGAGTTTCGTTCTTGAATTCGCGACTCAGGTACAGGTACCGCTAACGGCGCTTTAAAGAAAGGGCGGAAATGGGATTTCGGTGAGGAACAGGAGGAGGCATTGTGTCAATTGAAGGATAGCTTGATGACTGCCCCTGTTAGCCGGACTTAGCTTAGCCGGACTTTTCCGCCAAATTCGTCTTACAGAATGACGTGAATGGCTTAGGCGCAGTGCTGACGCTGTCGATAAAGGAACAGTAGCGGGTGAGAGCGTACGTGAGTCGAAAGTTGCTTAAAGCTGAGGTAAATTATTTCACCACCGAAAAGAAGTGCCTGGCATTCATGCGGGCGATTCGGAAGTCACGTTGCGGACTAGAGCGGTACCTGTTCGACTTGATAACGGATGATCTAGCACTATAGTGAATCAACTCGATCGGGAGCCCTTCACAACATTTCCAGTTTGATGTTCACTACCAACGAGGGAGTTCCGCTGAAAATGAGTCGCGAGTATGCGTGCCAGTCCCTCCAAGTAGAAGTTCAGTACACCTCCGCGTACTGACCGTGAAGACTGTGATAGTGCAGTTTATCGAAACCCATCAGGGTTCGTGGAACGAGTTCTTGCCTGATATTGCTAGCGGTCAATTAAGTTCCGCTTTTCTGATGCAGGGTAGCCGCAATTGTCCTCCGCTCTATACGATCAGGTGACTCTGGGGCCCGCAACTTGCGCTTTCGATAGATTAGGAAATCTTTCATATCGCCTACAGTAACCTCCAACGTACGTCAATGGAGCAGGTCAGACACTACAACCTGCGGAGCCGAGAGTTGCGAAATAGCTGGACTCGATGGTCCTATTACCGCAAGATAATTACGACACCGTTACGAAATTGGACCCTAGATTCGATGGCACTTATCGGGCTACCAAGTTAGTGTCGCTTAACATTGTGCGTTTCATGAAGCCAGGCGAGCGAAAGAAGAGGGTGGCCAGTATCTTGCAATTGTAGCTTTTCTAACAGAAATTAACCGGGGACGCAAAGGAACCGGGCCTGATATATGTCGAAGAAGAGCACGCAAAGCACACTTTGTAATAGAATAAGTTAAGATGAATCGATGAGATTCCATTGATAGTCAGCTGCACTGCTGTGACAGGGAATAGCATACTTATTTAACGAAGGCTATTATAATAATAATTAACGAACACTCCAAGCTCAGAAAGAAACCCAGAAGTCGTCACCATGAACGCCGCCTGGAAGATGACGACACTAAGATCGCCACCCTATAGTTCATAATCCTAGTTATGGGATGTTACGATCCATACAATGCATGGATAAACCAAACAGGCTTTTAATCGAAACACGATAAATCGCAAGAGGGAACACCAAAGATGTCTTCTTCTTGTGTACCCAAATAGAGCAGCAGATTATATAAAATATATAAATGTGTCTTTATGTAACGCAAAGGATATGTTGCTGCTGGGCAGAAGGTTATATGCACATAGTACTTTATGTATACAGTCAAAGCAATTGTATGAAATTATTTAAGGGTTATGACTGTTCAAGTGCAAAATTACACACTTTTCTATATGGATGGAAGCTTTTTTGGGCTTGTGTGCGTGTTGATTACCTGCCTGCCTGCCACCCCGATGCAAATTTGGCAAATTTGAAGTTTTCGGCATTTCCGAATTTGGAGCTCTACACACACACACAAATGTGTGCGAATGAGCTGATCAAGGGCTTATCGTTAGACAGAGATATTTTCATCAATGGGTGCGTAAATTTGGGCGACTGGGACAGACTTTGTTTTTTGGCATTGCTGCGGTGTGCTTGCGGCAGCAAAAGGCACAATTGTGTGAATAATCAATGAAAACAGGTAGATCACACTTGTCGCTCGCTTGAACTTTGTTAAAGCTCACGCCAAAGTTGTGGAGTCAAAGGAAACGCACGGTAATCAACTACGAGCGTGCCGGCACTTTTGTGGTGATCAGAGTAGACGTGTGTCAAGGAAAATAAAACGACGAACATAACCCAAAGTAGCTGGCGGAGCGCTAGGGCTCCATACAGTGCGGCAGAGCCTCTACGTACGTAGGGTAGTGCATAATAATAACAGAGAAATAAGCTTAAATAAAGCAATGCTAACAAAAAAGTCTGGTAGTCCTTTTTATTTCTTGATATTAATAATCTCGGGCGCTGCTGCTAGCCGTTGTTCAACATAAGCCCCATTCCCTAACCTAAAGTGTGCTGTGTAGTGGAACGAAATATCATGAACTCGTGAACAGCTTTGGCATGCCCTTCACTTAGGAACAGGCGGCTAAAATCTGCCAGCTCATTCTGAGCGCCTACCAAGTTTGTCGCATTGTCAGACCAGATCCTTGAAGATCGAGTGCGAGTCAAGATGAACCGTTTTAGGGCGCTTAGAAACGATATTGTAGACAAATCCTTTCCAAGCTCTGAATGTACTGCCTTTGTAGAGAAGCATATGAACAGGCTAATGTATTATTTCAGGGGAGGCCTGTTGTGGACTTCGCTGTTGTAGAAGAATGGTCCACAGTAATCGACGCCAGTGACCATAAAAGAATACGATGTTTCGAAACGATCAGCTGGTAGATCTGCCATTATGTGCTCTGCCAATCGTGGCTTGGCACGAAAACAGATTGTGCATTTGGCAACAACACTAGAGACTGTTTTACGACCGCCAATGGGCCAGTATTGGAGCTGAATCGAATCCAATACGGCGCGAGGTGCAGCATACGAATTCCGTTTATGAAAGTGGATTATTATTGCTCGGGTCACAGGATGCTGGCGAGGCAATATAATCGGATGTCGTGCTGAGAAGTCCAACGACGAATTTTTCAGCCGTCCACCGATGCGGAGTAAGCCGAAGTCGTCAAAGAATGGCGCGAGAGAGGCCATTGAGCTAGACCGTTTAACGGGCCTTCCTTCCATCAGTGCCTTGAAGTCATCGCCAAGAGTAGCCATTTGCACTGACCGTAGCAACAGATGTGTGCCATGATGCACATGATGGCTTACAGTTAGCTCAGATCCTCGAATTCGATTGACAAACTTGTAAATGTAAGCAAAGATGCATTGCAGCTTGGAGAATGAGTTGATGAACTTGCAGCCAATTGAGAGATCAAGTTGCGCTGCAGTTCCGAGGAATACCTTGTCGGACTTCTGGCAAGGATTCGGCAGGTACACAGGAGGCAGGCCACTCTTCCTTTTCTTTTCTGAGAAAGCTCGGGCCAAGGGCCCATAACGGAAACCTGGAAAGCTCACTGGACAGCGTTCCTCGTGAAATGATATCAGCCGGGTTTAATTCAGTGGCTGCGACTCGATTGGCAACGAAAAAATTGAATTTGGAAGCATCATTGCGAATCCAAGCCAAAACTACATCAGAGCCTGACCAACAGTAAGAACGACAGTCAAACACTTTCAGTTGACAGATTTCGCTGAGAAGTTCAGCCAATAATGCAGCTCCACAGAGTTCTAGCTTTGATACAGTGATGGTTTTCACAGGCGCGACACGCGACTTGGAACACAAGAGACGTACGCTTGTGTTGCCATGGCACTGTATAGACGCATGCTCCATAAGCGCTCAGGCTGGCATCACAAAATTCGTGAATCTCAACTGTGCTGTCTGATGAGAGTGCACGACGGGGATACTGGAATTGCTGAGGTTGCTCAAAGTCAGCGCAGAAGTTGACCCAGGTGCTTAAGTGTAAAGGCAACCTCTCATCCCAGTCCAGTTTTTATCTCCAGAGATACTGCATAAAAATTTTAGATTTTTTTATTACAGGACCAACAAGACCAAGGGGGTCGTAAAATCGAGCAATTGAGAGGATTGATCGTTTTGTCAGTCTCGAGGGTAGTCTCAGTGGAGAAAA